AGGGAAGGCTCTGCTGCCTCGACAGCCCCTGCTGTGACCTACTCAGGAGGTCTCTGCATGATCCAGAGGAACCTCAGAGGGCTCCAGCCCAAATTTCTGCTCGAGGCAGGTCCATCAGCAGCTCTAGGCAGGGTCAGCCATGGCTTTGTTGAGCTGAGCCTGGAAAACCTCCAAGGACAGGGCCCAACAAACAGGATACGGACAGCCCAGCAGCAGAGGAGCTGTCAGTGCCCTCGTGTCCATCCCAGCAGGCTGGGAGCTCTGCTCTCAGAACTGGCTTGGCTGTAATTCCCTCCACTGCGTGATTGAGGAACAATATCCCGTGGAGCTGGAGAGATCAGCATGGACTTGAGTCACCCAGTCCTGGTCATCTCCTTCCCCTGCCCTATTTTGCAAGTTCTGGGGATGCTGAGAACAGGGATTTAACGTGCTGCAGACACCCAGAGAGCTTTTCTTAGCAGTAAACAGCAACTGCATCAGCTGCAGAAAAACTTTCAATTCTATAAGAATTTAATATAATTAAATAATCAATTCCAATAAAATTTAATTTTATTAGAATTTATACATCTAATTCTATTAGATATAGAAACAATTATATTAAATAATTCTATTATTCTATTCTATTGGTATTTTGCATGTTCTGGTGATGCTGGAAATGTGAGCTCAGACAGCTTTTTCTTAGCAGCAAACAGCAACTGCATCAGCTGCAGAAAAACCTTTAATTCTATTAAATAATTATATTAGATACATAAAGAATTCTATTAAAGAATTCTATTATTCTATTCTGTTGCTATTTTGCAAGTTCTGGTGATTCTGGGAACATGAACTCAAGGATTTAACGTGCTGCAGACACCCAGACAGCTTTTCTTAGCAGCAAGCAGCAACTGCATCAGCTGCAGAAAAGCCTTTAATTCATCACAGCCCTGCAGGAGCAGTTTCCCGACTTCTCCAGTGGGGAATACAATGGCCCTATTGTTTTTCCAAGGGGAGATTCCTTCATTTCAGGCTCTTGCATAAACTGTGTGTTTTCTATTTGTCACCTGACTCATTCCAGTGACCTCCCTGAGATGGGACTGAGATCAGTGGCAGCGATGAAAGGAGCCCTCTCAGGCTGAGGACCAGACTGTCAGAGTCACCTCTTCTGCTTTGGCTCACAAACTGGGAGGAGAACTTGTTGTTCTTCTAGTGGGGGGAGAAATTGTGTAATAAAATATACGGGAAAAAAAGGAGTAAAGCTCAAATTCCAAAGTCATCTGCAGTGCTCCATGAAATGTTTCCGTGCACTGAAAGAGCTCAATCCTGTGTTTGATTCACATTCTCGAGGTGACCTTAGATGGGGAGTCCTCACTCAGGCTCCTCTTGCATTGAACTCATTTTGCAACAGTTCCCAGTGTTGGCAACTCTTGGTAACATCCCAAAAATGCTGGAAATGCTTTCCAGGCAAGAATCTGGAGCCACCCAGATGGGATACAAGAAGAACCAGTGGCTGGTTGGTAGCTGGGACCAGCACTGCAGGTGCAGGAAGATCTGAAGGTTTCATGGTGGCCATGCATCAAGATCTTTAGGTGTTCTCAGCTGTGAGCCTTGGGGCTGTGCTTGGGCTCCAAAGGGGATGTGCAGGGGGCTGGAAGAGCCTTCCTGCAGCTTTCCCTCCGTGGAGAATGGCCAGAGGACTGCACTGGGGGGAGCTGGCTCTTCCCAGTGCCTGCAGCCTGGTGGGAATGTGAGAGATTAGGTGAGGCAAAAGGCAGGGTGTGTTGGTGGGGACATACACACGATCCTTCCACCAAACTTATCAATGAAGTCCCCCTGGAGAAAGAATGTAACTCTGTGTTACCTTTCCATGCTGCTGGGCCTCTGGGTTGGGAATTCAATCTCTCTTTTCCAGCCAGGTGAGGGAGATTGATACTTTTATTTAGCTGTGACCCCACCAAGCCCTGAAATTCAAGCATCTCACACGGATTTTCTCACCTGGAAACGCTGCTGGTCTCTGCCTCACTTTGCTACTGAAACCCAACCAGGAGAAGGTTGCAAACCCAGGGGAATAACAGGAATAAATGAGCTCAGCACCTCCTGGTGTATCCCTGTGCATTTGGGCTTGGAGGGGGTGAGCCTTGGCTTGTGGTCCAGCCCAGCCTGGTGCTTTTAGCTGTACGAAATTGCTTTTTTTTCTTTTTTTTTCCCCTAAAGCAAACCATTACTGACAGATTGGAAGGGGTTTATCCTGCAGAATTTTCCCTGCCTCATCTGCCAGGGAACACGCAGGGCTCAACTCCTCTTGCTTGGAGTAAATCCCAGTGTGGGGCTGCCTTATCTAAAGCAGAGCCCCTGAGCAGGAATGTTGCACTGTCCAGCCCCTGGGCCACCCAGCCCTAATCCCAGGAATCAGTGCCTGCTCCAGGCCCACACTCTGACCCTCCAGAGCCATATTTCTGCAAGGTCAGGAGGTTGGGTGGTAAAAGGGGAGTGGGGAACAGCAGGGAGAGATTCAAGGCTGGCCCTGCACGGAGATTTCATGGAAATGTTTACACTGCCCTTGGAGTGGAGACTTGAGCCTGCTCCCCTCTCCAGATTTGCTGGAAATCTGCATCAGGTATGGACACAGCTCCAGCTTCCAAGTGTCCTGCATGAGGGTGGCTTCACACCCTTTTCCTTGGCTGCTTTAATGGATCCAGGTGGATTGAGGAAGGGTTGGATGTGCAGGCAGCCCTGTTAAACATCATTTCATCCTTGGTTCCTTCCTAGAACAACGAGGCTGCTTTTAGCTTGTGGGAAAGGATAAATAAGCAGGAAAATCAGATGGGAGAAGGGGAGAGACAGCTCTGTCAGATGGAATGAATGGGTGGAGAAACAGCTCCGTGCATTTCCTTCATCCATCACAGAATATTTTGTGTTGAGTTGAGGTGATTCAACTTGTCAGCAGAAAGGACAGCAGTGGGCAGAGAGGGTCCACTCTCTACATGTGGAGGAACCATTCCCTCCTGTGTGGAAATGTTCTTTGGGATCAGGTCAAAAAATGATTTCATGTGAAGTTTCTCTGTGAAATTTTCTGTTGCATTTGGCTGGAAGAGCCAACTTAGGGGCTTCATCCAAGAAATAGCAGTGCAAAGGGTCACTGAGTGTGGTCTGAGTGTCCATCAGGAACAGGGAAAGCCTGTGTACAACACCATTCCCAGCACATATTTCAGTCAAGAGAATGAAAAAGGATAAAAGGGAATGCTGCAAGCAAAATTCTGATTTTCTCAAGTTGCCAAACTGAAATTAGGTTACTGTTTCTTTTGTGTATCAATTATTCTTGAATGCAGGGGAAAACATCATTTCCTTCTCTCTAAGGGCTGGTATCAACAAAGGATGTGATCCACTGCCCAGTGAAGTAAGAATTGAGGGTTGCACAGTGAATTCTTCCCTAACAACTCATCAAAATGAGCAACTCCAACTCCTCCCGAGCCTTTTGAGTGGCTCATTTTCAGGAGCGAAGCTCAGGAAGTTGCTCTTGCCCAGCTGGCCCTCCCTCCCATCCTGTCCCTGTCCCACTTGAGCCACCCAGGGCAGCATGGAGCGAAGCTCAGGAAGTTGCTCTTGCCCAGCTGGCCCTCCCTCCCATCCTGTCCCAGGGGCACCCCAAATTCCATTCCCATTTCAGCCCTCACTTTGCTCCATGGCAGAGCATGGGAGTCTCCTGTCACAGTCATAGTTTCTAGAAAAATCCCTTTGTCCAGGATTCTCCTGGGAAGCTGAGAAGTCTCAGAGAAAAAGGAAAACAATATTATCTGATTTGCTTCTCCTGTGTTTTGCTGCTTTGGAATGTGTTTGGAGATTGTTTACCCACAGGTGATTGTTCCATTGGTTTCATGTGAATTGTTTTGACTCTTTGGCCAATCAGGGCCAAGCTGTGTTGAGGCTCTGGAAAGAGTCACGAGTTTCATTATTATCTTTTTAGGCTTCTGTAAGTGTCCTTTCTGTATTATTTAGTATAGTTAATATAGTATTCTTTAATATAATATAGTATCATAAAATAATAAATTAGCCTTCTAAGAACACGGAGTCAGATCCACCATTCCTTCCTGCCATAGGGCACCCCACAAATGCAATAGTCTCCCTCCTTCCCTCCCTCCTTCCCTCCCTCCCTCCCTCCCTCCCGCCCGCCTCTCTCCCTGCAGCTGCTGAGCTCTGCGAGGGAAAGGCTCCCAGATGTGCCGAGGAGGGAGCAGGCAGAGCCCTGAATTCCACTCCGTGCCGTGTGGACTCTTTGTATATTTTGTTTGAAGGAGAAAATATGTGGAGTCCTTGGAGGAAGGCTGGGGACCAGGCACGGCCCTGGCAGCTCCAGCACCACGGGGCTGCGAGCTCCTGCAAGCCCCTGCCCCTGGCTCGCCTTGGCCCCCAGGATGGGCCAGCTGAAACCCATCAGCATCAGCCAGCAGGTCCCCAAAGCCTCTCCTGGAGATGGCTCAAGGTGACCAGACCCTTTGAGAAAACGCGGCTTGGCTCAAAAGCTGGTAACACCTAAACACCCACGGCTGGAATTTTCGGTATTTTTGGCTCACGGGTGATGTGCTGTAGCAGATCAATAAATATTCACACGCTCCAGAGCGTTTTGTGGGGTTGGTTTCAGTGCGTTTAGCTGTGGCACTTGGTAGCTACTTGATTATTGCGTGAGACAATACGTTTATGAAGTGTTGGCCTTCATTTAGTTAAACACTTCATTGATGTCTAAGACCAAAACGGCATGAAACTAATTGTTCCCGTGGAAACAGGAACCCAGAGAATGATTTCATATCACAGCTTGGCAGCAGAAAAAGAAGAAACCTCTGTAATTGTTCCCATTAACCCAGCGCAGGGGATTCATGCTCAATCTCTACCGAGCTCTGCTCCGCTTCTGCTGTGAATTAGGGGACAAAAAGTCAGCAGAGAACCACATTAAAAAGGCCCGAAACAAGCTGTGCTTTATGGAGCATTTGTAGTTCTGCCACCAAAACCATTTCTCTTCTGCTTTGCAGGTTTCTGGCCAGCAGCGCTGAGGACTGTCACGGCCAACATTTGGAGATGCTGGGTCTTAACGTGGGCCTGCAGCAGGGACAGGGACATCCCTGGCCGTGCTGTGGGCTGCAGACAGGACAGCCCTCAACCCCCTCAACCCTGAGGGTGAGTACTTAAAAAGTGCAGGCAGAACCAAATCTGCAGTGAAAAACTGGGGAGAGGGAGAGAGGAACCTCGCAGAGCAGCCCGTGTGTGCAGGAAATATCCTGAACCTCCTGCCTGAGGTTTTCCCTCTTCTCCCACGGGATGTGGGGCATCTCAAGGGGTTTGTTGCTGTAGAAGATCCCTGTTATCTCTGTGCCAGAGGAGGTCACATCTCCCAGTTCTCCAGATTTCCCATCAAACTGAGGAATCCCCACCCCAGTGAGGAGCTGCAGCCTCTACCAAGCCCCGAGCATGAACCATCCCTTGCAGGACAGTTTTGGGAAGCCCAAAGGCTCTGCAATTCCTGTCTGGGCACCCCCGTGGAGGGGGGAACCTCCCATCCCCTCTCCCTGCCCTGATGGAATCATCTCCACCATTTTCCCACTTTTAGGCTTTGCCCTGAACCCAGCCCCACCAGCCCAGCAGGAAAAGGGAACCAGCAGCACAAAACCCACCCTGGCCACCAGGCCAGCGGCCAGCCAAGCCCACAGCTCCCCTGGAGGGACCAGCAGACACGGACCTGCTCCGTCCCAGCACAGAGCGGGTTTCTCGCGGCGCTAATTACTGCTAATTGAGCCACTTGACAATCGGGGAGCCCTGCCCCGGGCAGGCTGATAGAGTATCGGGGAGATAAGGAGCACTCAGCGCAGGTAACGGGGAAGTGTTGTCAGACCTGTGGTGGCACCTTCTGGAGGGGTTATCTCCCCTCCCCGGAGCACCAAATTCCGAAGGGAAGCACTCTGATCATGAGGGTCTGTGCAGAGCCTAATAGAGATCTTTAAGAGAGGATGAAAAGCTTTTTAGGAGGTGCCCTGTGGGATTTTGGTGACTCAGGAGCTCAGCAAAGCAAGCTGGCATTCATTTCAGAGTAACTCTTTTAAATTTCCTTAACATGCATTTTATTCCTTTGGCTGGCTTTTGCTGTTGTTAATTTAACATCGTGGAAATGAAACTTTAAGCATTTTTCCCCTTTTTTTCTTCCCTACAGAGAAATAAATTTTTTTCTTTTAACAAATGCTGTCTCTCTCAGAACTTTTGTTATTTTTCACCACCTCCACTGACCTACACAGAGGAATTCAGCTCCTACACCATCCTGAACACCAGGTAGCAGTTACTCACACCTACTTACCAAAGTGGAAACTTGGAGGGGTGACATTGTTGTTGTGTTTTTTCTTTTAAATTACTCACAATTGTAAATAGGAAATCAAAATTACTGGATATTTTTGCAGCCAAGTCCGAGAAAAATCCCGTGTGTGGATGCAGTTCCTGGCTGTGGGTGCTGCCACACATCACACCTGGGAGGTGAAGCTCTCAGGGTCACAACCCCTGCCCACAGCAGTGCCAGTGTTTTGTCTCAGGGATGTAAAAACCAAGAAAACATCACCACTTCACTCCTGGAGGAGCCAACAGAGCATGACATGGCTATCAAATCAATGAGAGGGCAACCACACACCTGAGAAGCTGCTTGGTCCTCTAACCCAAAGTTTGGGATGTTTTCCATGTCAAGTATCCCCATTTTCTTCCTCAAGGTGCCTCAATCATCTGCTTCTCCTCTTACCCCTGTGCACTTTCAGTTTGGTTTAAGTTCCCAAAGTTTCTCAGCTTGTTACACAAAGCTCATAACAAAGTCTGTGGCCAGCTCTCTCTTTGATAATTCCTTCCCCCCATTTGTTTATCTCAAGTCCTGAGCTTTGTTCCAGGCCCAAAACCAAAAGCCTTTCTACCCTGTTCTCCTCTTGACTTGTTGCAGATGTAACGAAATAAATCTTTAGAAAGAACAAACCTTCACTTCCTCTCTCCCGTCTGATTCAGTCACAAACCCCAGGAAAGAAAAATAAATCACAACCTGATCTCGCCTGGTCTTGAAGGATTCCAGTCTGGTCCTGCAAGCCACCATCCAAACTGGATGTGTCCATTCCTCAGAGAAATCAGTGAGCACAGCCACCAAAAAGGGTCTGATAACCATGAAATCCTTATTTTGAGCACGGCCAAGGTCACAAAACTTCTGATCAGCCCAAATTAAGGTTGATGGGGTGGCTGATGAGCATGACCATGCTGGTGGTGCCTTCCTGGAGCTTGTCCTTGCACTGAAGGGTGATGTGTCCCTGGCTTGTCTCTCAGCCCCTCGTGTGGCTCTGCCCCTCTTTTCTCCCCTGCCATCCCCATCCCAGGGAATTTTAAATCACAACCAGAAAAATAATGTGTTTGGGTTTTCCCAAACTGGCCACAGCAGAGGTGGAAATTCCCTCCAAACGGAGTTTGTCCTTCTGCTGAGAGCTGTTTCCATGTAAAACCTCTCTGCTTTTCCATCAACCATCAACAGGTGCTCAGATTCTCTCCAAACACACCCCAGCCATGAGGTCTGACCAAATCCCTGTTTTCAGCTGGAGATTCCATGGATCTTCTGCTGCCCTGACCCTGATCTGGGATCAAACACATCAGCCCAAAGCCCTTTCCAGAGCCCTCCAGCCTGGACTGGGAATGGAGAGCGGGACACAGGGTCCCCTCCACAGGGATGCCAAGTGGAGAACAACTCCTTAAAAAAAATGGGTCTGCCTGTGTTTGCCTAACAAGGTCTTCTCTTGGGTCTAAGTTAAAGCCAGGCTCAGCTTTAAGCTGGGAAATACAGGATCTGTATGAAAGGGATGATTTGATTTACCAGGTATGTTCTGCCCGGTGGGTTTTGCTCTTCCAAGGGTACTTGGGGGAAGATGTGCAGAACCACCACAGCTGTCAGAAGGTTTTTGGGTTATGTCCCTAGTCCTGGCTTTCACTGATGAACCGAGGGTTTTCTCTTTGTGTGTGTTTTGTTTTAAATTTAAACAAGAGGCCTTTGCACACTCGACACAATCCATCCACTTAGCACCGAAGAAAGTGTAATTAGACACTTGGAGAACTGGAAGAAATTAACTCCGACCACAGCCCGTCACTCAGACTATTACTTAATAATATTTCCCAAATGTGCAAAGCACTTAGTTCTAGAATAACAGGAAAGAAGTGTAACTTCTCACCCCGAGCAGCGGCTCTGCCGTGCGGAGCACGCGGAAAACCTCGCCAGCCTCCGGGAGATGTTTTGCCACCTCCCCTCACCTGAGGGCTACCAGGAGATGTGAAGGATGCGATTCATGGTCCCCAGTCCACATCAGTGAAGGGCTGGAATGGAATCAAGGGCAGTGACCAGCCCGAGGTGCTCGGGCTGCGTGCGAGAAGGTCTCCCTCAGCTTCCAGCACGCCACGGAAACCGCGGAGAAATTGCTGTTTTCCTTCTCCTGCAGCGCCCTTGCCTCACCCCACGCTACAGAAGCCTGGCTAGAAAGAGATTATTGTGATTCCTGCCCGTTTCTTCGCTCACGACAAAAGGCCCCATTCATCCTGGTGAATTTTGAGGGGTATCAGTAGCATGAACTGGATCTGAGCGTCTCCACCACACGGGAGCAAGCCCCGCTCGTTGGCCAGTCCAAGCCAGGGAAACAGATATCTTTCATTTGGAGCTATGGAGGGGAGAATTTCTCTGGTTTTAAACAGAAGTATCTTTGCTGGCCGTGGCAAGTTTTAAAAAGTCCTGACGAAGCAGGGCTGGGTCATTTTCCCAGCAAAAACAAGAGGCCGTTCAAAAAGTGGGGGGAAAACGTTGTTCTCCTGTGTTTCTGCTTCAGGAGCCAACACGCCCACCTTCACCTACCTAAATTACCCCTCACATATTCAATGAGGCCATGTCCACAGCAATGAACCTCTTGCCTTGTTGTAAAACACTTAAAAAAAAAAGGATTTTTTAATAAAAACATCCGTGATGCCTTGAATGCTGAAGTCATTGTGAATTACAACTCCCAGGATTTCCCCATGTGTGCGGGAAGAGCTGCAATGTAATTGCTTTCAGCAGAATATCACTGCAGTCTATAATTAAAATATATGAGATTGCCAGTTTCAAAATATTTAAGTGATTTCATCTGGATTTAGGTGAATGTGTCTCTCTAAGCAGCTCATTTAAAATGATGTTTCTATTTTCAGTGCATAACATGGGTCCTGGGTGAAAGAAAAGGATAATTTTGTTGTCTTCTTCTTTTTCTGAGGAAGCACCTGGGGGAGGCTGGAGACACAGAGCTCAGAATTCAACAGAATATTCCAGTCCTGGGGAGATCCGTGGTGAAAACTGAAGTGACGTTCCAGAGATAGAGAGGGAGGTGTCACAAAAGAAAATAAAAATAAAAATAAAGGTAAAAATAAAAATAATTGAAATGAAATGAAATGAAATGAAATGAAATGAAATTAAATTAAACAAAACATTATTATTATTACGAACAATAATGTTAATAATAACAATAATAATAATGATAATGATAGTGATGATGACGATGAAATAATTGAAATGAAATGAAATGAAATGAAATGAAATGAAATGAAATGAAATGAAACATTATTATTATTAATGATAATAACAACAATAATGATAATAATGATAGTGATTGTGATGATGGTGATGATGATCTGATGATGATGATGATGATGATGATAATAATAATTTTTCTGATACTAATACTAATACTAATACTGATACTACTACTAATAATAATAATTTAAAAATCACTACCAGGAAAATCTGGCACCTCCTAAATCACAGTGACAATTTCAGCAGGGTGTTTACTCTGAGTAGGAAAAATAAATGACTTTTGAGGCCACCACAGATGGTCCTGCAGGGACCATGGACAAGTGACCAGTGTGGCTTTGGAGCATCCTGAAGCTTTGATATCCCAGAACTGGAGACCAGCTGGGGTCTCTGGGACCCAGCCCTGATCCTTTCCCAGTTTGCAGACCCACACTGAACCTGGGGGATGTGGAGGGAGCTCAGCAGGAAAAAGCAGGGCAATATCCTACTCCAGGTAAGAAGAATAACCCAGAGCACATCACTCAGAGTGTCCCAGGCCACCACGGGTGGGAGGTTGTTGGGACCCAGGACATTCTCTGGCTGCCCTGGGTGATTTGAGACCCTGGCAAGGGGCTCAGAGACCTTGGCATGGAGTCAAAAACACCTGTGCCTTTGATTTTAGCTCATGGAATAAATTACCAGCTTTGTATGGAGATTTACAAGCCGCAAGAGTTTGAGCAGAATGATAGTTAATTTGTCACAGAGTGAAAAAGTAGAATTTTGGGGTTTTAGAATGGGGGTTCAAGAGGCAAGATGGAAGAATCTGGGCATGTCCTGTCCTTCCTCTCCTTCTTCTTGTCCTCCACCTTCTGCTGGGATGGTGACACTTTTGGATTGGTTTAGAGTAGAGACAGACTGTCTAACATAGGTGATAGGTATTGGAAAATTATTGTAAATAAAGTACACGTAGTTCTTAGTATAAAAATTAGCACCACCCCAAGGGCAGACACAGACCTGCTGGACAGATCTCAGCAGGTCAGAGAAAGAATGTAATAGATAGAAAAAATAAACAACCTTGAAAAGCAGAACTGATGAATCTTGACTTCTTTGGTCGTGGGTCTGGGAGAAAAAGACTTTCTAACACCTCGGGGTCATCTCAACACAGAAACCCAAGAGGGATGCCTTTTCCTTCTCCCTTTCTGCCTTTTCTCGTATTCCAAGATAAATTCTGGCTTTAGGAGGAGATCCCTGCCCCAGGATCTGGATGTCTCCTGGCACAGGAGTGGGCAGTTCTGGTGGGTTCATCTCCCCTGAAATCCTGTCATTCCCAGTGTCCCTGCAGGAGGGACTGAGCCCCATCCTGGTCTGCCTCTTCACTCAGAGGATGAAAATAAGCAATACAAGAGGGCTAAGATGATAATGTAGCTGTAATGAGACACAAATGCTATTTTGATGGTTTTCTCTGAAAGGAATACACCAAGCCCAAGTGATTTAATTGAAGATCTCCCAGGCTTTGCAATCAGCATGGCCACAGATGAAGGGGAATCTCCTTTTATGTGGCAGAACACAAGTGGTTTAACCAGTAAAATAAAAAGAATTATGAGAAAAAAAATGTTTTT